AAAATTGCTATTAACAATTTAATTGGTGCTGGCGGGGATCGAACCCGGGTCGCGTACTGTGAAATTTACAGCTAGCGCTAACCATCTGAGTTACCACGGCTTAATCATATACATACACAATATTTAAATAAAATAATACACACACATGAAAATAACAGAAAAAAAGTAATTTAGTCAATAGAATAAACACTTACATCCATAGCCTTTGGTGTATTGAAGTAACACAAAATGTACTATTGATAGATCCACTGTAGCCAAACGACCGTACACTAACTCGATGACTGCGTTTGTTGGTCTTATATACCACCAGTACGTAAAAATTCTAATCTAAAGTATTTCCGTAATGAGTTGATAATTACTTTATGCGTCAACCAGTTTATCTCACATTTCCGTTGCCTATCTCAACATTTCTTCGTATTGTGTTTTGTTTGGTGATCAATGACTCAAGTACGATTTGTATAACACAAAAATGCAATTTAATATTTAGAAACATATCAGTTTATCTCACATTTCCGTTGCCTATCTCAACATTTCTTCGTATTGTGTTTTGTTTGGTGATCAATGACTCAAGTACGATTTGTATAACACAAAAATGCAATTTAATATTTAGAAACATATCAGTTTATCTCACATTTCCGTTGCCTATCTCAACATTTCTTCGTATTGTGTTTTGTTTGGTGATCAATGACTCAAGTACGATTTGTATAACACAAAAATGCAATTTAATATGTAGAAATCACTATAATTGACCATTCCTATGTTATTCATTGAGTAGCTAGGTACTGTAATAATCTACTAATAGCAGTAATATCATGGATACACTAGATGTACAACAACATCTGAAAAAGATTCACCCCAGTCTAGAAAATAATGTTTATGCAGCTAATAGACTGCCTATGTATACCCACGTACCAACGTATATAATATGTAATTTGGATACAGATGATAAACCAGGGTCACATTGGGTAGCTTTATATATCGATACGAATGACGTCGGTCAATATTTTGATTCATATGGACGATCACCTGTACGATATCATCTAGAGTTTTTAAAAAGGAATTGTAAAAGATGGAACTGGAATGTTGATAGGATTCAGAATGAGTGGACTTCAGTTTGTGGCGAATATTGCTTAATGTATTTGCTATATAAGTTTCAAGGATGTTCAATACATAGTTTTACGAGTATATTTACAAGGAACACATTGTACAACGATATTTTAGTGGATGAGATGTTTCGTTCCTATTTTATAGATAATAATTAATAAGATTTTGTATTTTATAAATAAAAATTGTAACAAAATTATGTAATGTGTTTTATTGATGATTCAGAATAGCGTTGTATAAACAAAGAATTATAATACAATAGCACTGATATAGTCGACGCACACGCTGCAATGAAGGTGATTAAGGAACAATAGAACAATAGAAATAGGAACAATGGGACGCTAATGACGGTGGAGGCCCTTACCGGATATCAATTAGATATTAGCTAATTGATCTACACATCTCCGGAACCGTGCATTCTACACAAAAATGGACCGCGGATTCGTGATCAGAGCATGCCAAAACCTTTTTTTTTTTAGGATCGGGCGTCGACGAACGTCGTTGAACCACGTCTGACTCAGGTGGTCTAGAAGTGGTACAACTACACTACTGGTGTCGTTCCAGCAATGTTTGGCGGACAACTTCACGGCAATCAGTCTAAGCGATCTGTACAGTTTGTGATGATTCCTGAAAATGAATTCCTGAAAGGTGATTTAAGCAGAGTTTTATTAGGCTGAAAATAAATTGTCTCAGATACTTTCAGTTTCTGTTGCAAAGGGAACCATGACTGAGTTGGCCAATGAGGTATAACAACTATACATTCGGCTTTAAATTAATAGAATCAGGCGTTACTTTGCGGAAATCCATTATATAAAAGCTTTTACAAAAATTTACTTCGCAAATATCCGCGTTATAAAATGAAATGATGTGTCTTACCTTGTATGAAGAGCACCTCCCGCCCTCCCTCAATTGCGTGCACTATCCCCGTCACCACGAATCCCAGCACCGCTACTCCCAACACCACTACACTAGGCAAGACACACCACTGACGATAATACGACACGTGTTTCGCCTCTACACGAGGCATCCTCAGGTGATATAGACTCTACGGTGGCTAACCGCTAAGTGAGCGGCGAGCTAAAACAAGTGCCTTTTATACAAACCGATGATGCAACCGCTCTCTACCTAAGGAGCGAGCGACTGCGTCATGCGATAAAACATGCGACCAATCAACCGGGATAGTGTGACAATGTCCGGTTCGTCCGCACTTCCGTAGTGCTCCGCATAATCGTACCAACGCGATAGTGACCTCCCTAGTTAGCATTGGATTTCGTAAGTATCCTTTGCCGTCGACGTTCTGCATAATACACACTATATTCTGTAATTTAATAGCGAACGAATTTAACTTCTGGGCGGTTTGACCCGGGCGCGGAAGGCGTTTTAATTCCTCTAACGCACGATCTATAATTACTTCCGGGCGGCCAAAACACTGCTCCAGTGTCCGCATAATGTCTGCCGGATCCTTCGCGGTAAACAGCAGCGCCGATACTACTTCTCTAGTCTCACCGCGTAAACAGTTCCTTAACCTTGTCATATTTTCCGTATTTGTGAATCCATATAAGCGCGTGGATTCTTTCATCGCGGCTTTAAACGCTAACCATTCCGCGGCCGAACCGTTAAAAATAGGCAAGTCCTGCGTCTGCTTCGCGGCGGCTGGTCTAACTCTAATCATGCTTTCTAAAGCTTTCGCTAGCCGTTCTATACCCCTATCTTTCCCTCGCGGGGTGAGCGACATATCTCTATCCCTAATTCTCTCTAGCCTACGCTGTGACGCTGGCGACCTATGTACACCTGCATCCCTATAACACGGCGACGGTAATCTATCCGCAAGGCGATGTGGCGATTTATCTATGCCTACATCATTACACGGCGACGGTGATCTACGATCCGCGTGGTGATGTGGCGATGGCGATCTACGTGCACCTACATCCTTACACGGCGACGGTAATCTACGATCCGCGTGGCGATGTGGCGATCTATGTATAGGCGATAGAGTGCGGCGTTGGACGCGCGACGGCGACGTAACCCGTACACGGCGATCCACCTGGTTCATTTCTACGGCGACTCCATTGTCCCTCTGTATCTTATCTACGCGGCGCGGTTGAACATCATTCGCAACCAACCTCCCCTGGGCATTTTCAGCGTGGTCATAACTGGTTCCCCTACTCGGCGGGGCCTGCTCTATCTCGATGCGGGGCGCGGGCTGAGACGGGCGGTAGGGCGGCTCCCCCCGCACAGTCTCTACGTTCTCTAACCACCTATCAACGCGTACCCTATTTTCAACTAATTCGTCCTCGTTTAGACTTTCCCTATCCGTTTCTTCTTGCAGTTGAGCGATATCCCTAGCGTACTTCTTTTTGATGAGATCTTCCTCGATTTGCAATTGCTTCCTCCTAATTGCAGCTAGTTCCTCCGCGGTATCATACTCGATTTGCTTTAACTTTGCTATTGCGCTAGCTGTCGACCGGGCTGAACGGACCGACGGGGCGCGGGGCGCGGGCCTATGTACAACGTCTGCTACAGGCGCGACGGTACGCACTATGGAACTAGTCTCTGTAGTCGGAAGATCTTCTATAATCGCGGCGAGCGTCTCTGTGCGCGGCGCGGATGTGCTAACTTCTCCCAAGCGATCGGTTGTAGACACGGACATAGCGGGGCGCGGCGGTGCGGGCGCGGGCGCGGGCATAGATGCGGGCGCGAGCGGGGACTGCGGCGCGGCGGAGGGCGCTTGTGCCAACGCGAGATAATCGGACGGGGACGCGGGTGCTTCCTCGAATATCCGCATTCCTACTGGCGTTTCGTCGTCGTTCCGTGTATTCTGGCTTCTTGTCTGCCGCATGATGATGTCCCACGTTGCGACCTCCGATCGTCTTCAAAAAGACGCACGTATTGGACGCCGTTCCCGCCTCAAGGGCGTTACCAGATGGTCACAGTTTGGCACCGTTAGGGAGCAACCACCCGGCCGCGTAAACGCGGTTTAAGAAACAAGAATTCTCTGGAAACAGACAATATGCGTATATGACGTAGATGTAAACAAGAAACGAGGAAGGAATTAGTACCGACGATCTTCTCTCTTCGTCGACGTACTTCTTTCTTCCTTGAAGATCTTCTATAATGATCTTCTTTCTTCTGTAATTACCTTCTTTCTTCTGTAATTACCTTCCTTCTTCTTTCTTCTGGCTTGAATCCGGCGACGATGGACCAAGATTATTAGGGATCGAACGTAGACTGTATTAATTTACTTGCAAGTGGACTGTATGACTGACTACGCTAGGGAACTGTTTAAAGAAAAGATGGTACTAAGAACTATACTGTATTCAAACTATTTACAATGCGGCACTATAAACTACACTATATACAGAGGGGAGTCTTCTGGATTTCTCTGGAGTCTTGATTCTTCTTGATTTCTCTTGCTGTTTCTTCTCTTCGAGTGCCGCTTCCGAAATGAACCGAAATGAACAGCTCACAGACCAAAACGCCCTTCTTATATCCCGCAAGAGAGCGTCTCGGTTCGTGAGTAGCGTCGTAAGGCGATGCTGCGCGCTGATTGGTCGGCGACATCGCGTGATCTGCTGCCGGTGTGCGGGGTGCGCGGGGCGCAACGGGGTGTGAAGGGGCGACGGGGCGGCGGCCTCCTTCGCTGTCCGCTACATAACTGATGGTATAAAGGAGTAACTTAGGCTACTTTTATTTTATAAAAAGAATTAGGGTTCTGCACAAAAAAATTAAAAACCATGAAATCCAATTGGAATAAATTCATAATGTAATGTTGGATGTGAATCTCATCAATTCCATGATTGAACTTGAATCATGGAAGGTGCTTGTGTTTCCCTGTTCTACCAAAAATTTTATTCTAAAAAAGTTTGTCCTTAATAAAAATTTCGTACCCTTTACAGAATAGCAGAGATCATTGAAGCAGAGACTGAGAATTTTATGAAGAAAGACCCTGATCCCTTTGATGAGAGGCCGCCATCACGCACTGACCCAGAATGTGCTTTAGGACAAGCTTTAAAGGTTATGTTTAAGAAGGACAACTTTATGACTAAGGTGAGAAAGAGAGAGATAATAAAAAAACTAGATACACAATCAGTGACAAAAAATGTCCTTACCGTATGAGCACCCACTCGATCATTTGGGTGCGCTTTAAATTGTACGTAGATTTGTGAATACAACCTTAGACTGCATGCATTTAAGGTTGAATTTACATTAATGTATATTTATTTCATCTAGAATTACGTCAAAACAATTGGCGACAGTTTTAGGAGAAATTTTGCATAGGATTTTGTATCTAGTTTTTTATTAGTGATCGATACCCATGGATGTATAATTTGTAGGAAAGATTCAATAAACGACGATTGAATAATTGACTGACATAGATTCTGCTAACCGTCATATTAACTTTATTCCACTACAAGAGTGCATTACTAGAAATGGGCTATCAACTAGGGTTGTGCCCTGACATTACAGATGATAGGTTCCGAGATGATGGATGAGATAGAACAATGATAGGTTCTCTTAAGCCACCACAGTCAAGTACAACCAATAGTATTAATCATAAATATTAATGGTCTAAAAGACAAATGTATAAATTACACACATTGCACTTTTTCAGGAGAGCAGTTTACATAAATTTTAAAGTTTGACCCGTTAGTATGTAAACCTGAGTAGTGTAACATACTACGGGAGGTCAAAAAGTTCGCGGAATGACAGGGAAGGATAATGAAATAAAACATTAAACTGTTTTTCCTTTTCATTGTATTCTCCCTTAACCGAAATTGGTCAGCTGGGGACCTTCTAGCGTATGCCACACACGTATGAGGCGAGGCACTCGAGAACAGTGGGGAAGCACTTGCTGTTTCCCTTGATGTCTCGAAGGTCTTTGACAGTGTTTGTCACACTAGCCTTTTGGGTAAGCTTCCAGCGTACGGCTTATCCCCTGGTCTGATTGAATGGGTAAAAAAACTTTCCGAGTGAATGGTCTCTCCGAGTCGTCGTCGATGGCTGCTCATCCGATCCTATGGCGACTAACGCCGGTGTTCCTCAGGGGTCCGTTCTCTCCGCAACTCTCTTCCTGCTTCATATTAATGATCTGCTTATGCCCGGTATCTGTGGGTATGCAGACCATAGCATAGTTGTTGAGAGATACCAACCAAGTCCTCGGGCCAGTCGGGATCAAATCCAGTCCGAAAGAGAACCTATGGTAGAGCGTGTGAATCTCACACTACAGGCAGTCTCCAAATAGGGCGATGCCAATCTTGTTAAGTTCAACGCCTCCAAGACACAAGCGTGTCTTCACTGCAAAAAGGAGCCAGCTCACCTTGGCTCCTTCTTTCCGAAATGTATCACTAAATATATACCGACCTCCTTCAGTTGTTAGGGTTTGAAATATCTTCAAATTTGAACTTCGGGCGGTTCATTGAGTCCAAGGCTAAAGCAGCTGGGAGTCCTTGCAAAGGTGCGGCGATACTTCATGCCGGGACAGCTGCTTAATTTATATGAAGCGCAAGTCCGGTCGTGCATGGAGTATTCCTGCCATATATGGGCTGGTGCTGCAAAATGCCACCTAGCAGCTTTGGACTAAATGGAAAGGTGTGCTAAGAGGCTTATTGGTGACCCGAATTTGGTTGAAACCAATCTTACCAGCCTCGAACACAGACATAAAGTAGCCAGCCTTTCAGTTTTCTACAGGATGCATTTCGGAGAGTATGCGCAGGAATTGCATAATTTAATTCCCCCCTCTCCCTTCCACCACCGGACAACCAGACGTTCGGCCAGTCTCCACCCTTTCGTTGTTGACTTACCACACATTCGAACCAAACGGTTCGCTACATCGTTCATCATGCATACAGCAAAGGAGTGGAATAAGTTGCCAGCATCTGTCTTTCCATCCGATTATAGTGTGGGTGTGTCTTCAAGGCAAGAGTGAATAGGCTTTTGTTAAGTCAGTGCGCTTCGCCATCTTAGGCTACATCACCACTTACCATCAGATGGGATCGTAGATAAGCGCTGGCTTAGTAGAATATAAAAAGAAACCCTAATACAATTATTAGATCTGCCAAATAACATATTAATACTGTCTAAAAAAAGATTTGTCTTGGGAGTCAAAATAGGCAGAAATTGCCGACTTCACTTCTTCATCGTCGCCAATTTTTTTTCCCACGCAGTTCTTTTTTCATTTTTGGAAACAAATAATAGTCACTTGGGGCTAGGTCTGGGCTGTAGGGCGGGTGGCGCAGTCGTGCCAAAGGAGCACGCCTTTTGTAAGCTTTCCTCGCCTTTTTTTAATAGCTTCTTTTAATTGACCTAGTAAAGAAGCGTGGTATTCTCCCGTTATGGAAACACCACGTTCCTTATAATCAGTCGAAAGGATACCTTCTGTGTCCCAAAATATCGTCGCCATGATCATTCCGGCCGATTGAGACACCTTATACTTTTTAGGAAGGGGTGTGCTTTTTTTATGCCACTGAAATGACTCTTGCTTTGACTCAGGTTCATAATGGTGAACCCAAGTTTCATCGCCAGTTACAATTCGGACCATAACTTCCTTTCTTTGCTCTCCACAGCGGTTCAGAAACTTGCGACAACTTCGACGCGCTCGTGTTTTTGATGCGCAGAAAGCATTCTCGGAACCCATCTTGCACCAACTTTAGTCATGCCAAGGTGTTGATGTAGGATGTTTAAAATGGTTGTTGCTGATACTCGAACTAATGCCGCAAGCTGTTTTTTCTTTAGCCGGGCATCTTCTGATACAAGCTTATCAACTTATTCGATTATTTCTGGCGTGGTAGCCTCAATCGGCCATCTAAAATCGGGTCGTCTTCGATGGAGTCCCTCCCTTGTTTGAAAAAGGCGTGCCATTTATAAATCATGGTTTTCCCAAGAGCGGAGTCTTGACCTGTCCTGTCCTGAGGAGCTAATGACCCGATTAGTTTTTTTTTTTTTTTTTTTTTTTTTTGCGCCCGAAGCAATTTGGAAAAGGGCTACCCTTTACGGGAGGCGGAAAATGCATTACGCATACCACGATGGCTATCCATCGTGGTTATGGGGGACTCACACCTAACGGGGGAGCCTATGTGATACCCCCTAAAAACCGCCTTTGGGGACTGGCAACCAGCTGTTTAAAGCTTCCTATGCCGTATCGTAAAGCGACCCTCTTTTGGGAAAAGAGGGCGCAGGCGGCTATAAGCCGCTGAGGGAGTGCCTGGGAAGGCAATTTGATTGTAAAATTTAATTATTTATGAAAGTTTAATTATGAAATTGACTGAGCCACCAGGAGGTAGTTCAAATCGTTTGACAGAGAATAGGCGGGTTCGAGTGGGAGTTCCTCGGCCTGCGGATGCGATAGCGAGAGGGAGTGGGGTTGCACACTTAGCTACCTCACGAACGAGTATGTTAATGAAACTCTGAGACTTTGAAGAAGTTTCAGAGAGTTTTAATTAGTGAGTGCCTACGGAGGCAGTTTTAACCCGACGTATTTACCTTACGATGAAATGATTAAATTAATTTTACAACGTACTTAAAAGATTATGATGCTCTGTAAGAGCAAGGAGTCTGTCCTGAGGGGACTTGGCAGCGCGCAATTTGCGTGCTAAGACTGTGATCTCCCCAATGTTGATGTTCTTAATAGCGGCGTACACCGTATTTAGATCATCAGCCACTGAGGGTTGTTCATGCTGTGCAGCGGGGGACGACCGCGGAGGGTCGGCCTTTTTGGGTCCCCAGGGAAAGACTGGAGGCTGTAATGGTTGCGAGAAGCCCGGAGGTGGGCGAAGAAGAGGGGGAGGGACCTGGGAGGGCCTTGGGTCTACCTGAGATGGGCGAAAATATCTCTTAGGTGGCAATCTTGACGGGAGGGCCGGGAATGACTTAGCATTAACCGGCGGTGGAGCGTGCCTAATGGGGCGGGGGTGAGGTGCGCAAGGGCAGCCTCTGTAGTTAGCCGGGTGGCCTGTTTGTTTGCACAGGACGCACGCGGGTGGGGATTCGGCATTTTTGGGCCGGGGACACTCTTTCGTGTTGTGGGGGTCGAGGCACTTAACGCACCTGGGTGGGGCGGAGCAGTTGGCCGCCGCATGACCATATAACTGGCAGCGGTGGCACTGCGCCGGGTAGCCGCGCCTATGTGGGAGCTCAGCCCTAACTCCCGACAGCCCACACACTGTGCGTAACTGCCGGAAGATAGTCTGTGCCTCCGGAGCGTTTGAAAGAATAGCGAGAGCGAGGGGGAACCTCAAGCCCGTTCTGCTGTGCATTTTATGCACAGCCTCAACCGGGAATCCTTGGGACTTAAGGTCCTCAAGGATTTCCTCGTTGGAAATTTCAAAAGGGACGCCTCGGATGATGGCCCTGATTTTGCGCTCTTCCGGAAGAGCGTACGTGTGATAAGAGACTTTTTCGGCTGTGAAGAGCCTGGTGAGACGACGAAAGTCGTCGACAGATTTGGGGATGATTTTAATAGCCTCCCCGAGGTTGGTGGCTTGGTCATATTTTATTCCTGCGTCGTAGCAGGTTTTGGAGAGGCGGGTGAATTGAGCCTTGTCTCGTAAGAAGACAGGGGGCGGAACTTGCTTCTTAGTCGGGTTAGAAGCACAACGGGAGGCCGGCTTGGGCAGTGGTGTTACTGCAGCGGGAGCTGCGGGGACTGAGGCAGCTACGGGGGCTGCGGGGTTTGCGGGGGCGGCAGAGGCCGCCGAAACGGTTTTCGCGGCGCGTTTACGACGCTTAGGAGACACCGTCGTGAACTCTGATTCTTCGGATCCGTCTGAGTCAGACGACTCCGTAGAACCAGAGCCCCGGAGTGTAGATTCTGAGTCGGAATTGGAGTTGGAGCACTCCATGTCTACTTCGAGAGGCGCGAATGAGTTCTGGGACTCAATGTGGGCCGCTATTACGGGCGGCGGGATAATTGCCTTACGGGCGTGAGCAGGCAGAAGGGCTATAATGGCGGTAAGCGCCTGCGGGTCGGTTATCCTAGTGATGATCTCGTAAATCGAAGATTTTAGGTCCTGAGCGGACATGTTTGGACGGGTGTAAATTAAAGTAATTTGGTAAGTAAGTTAGGGGGGGGGGGGCACACTGTTCTGAAAAGAACAGATCGTATTCTTAAGAAACAGTAAGGGCGGGATCACCGTTCTGAGAAGAACGGGACGGTTTTATTCTAGGAGTTGTGCCCTAGTTCTCAAAAGAACAGGGCCTTGCTCTGAAAAGAGCAAGTAACTCCCTTGAAACAATATACACGTTACAATAAATAACAATAAAATAATTACAAAGACAAAAATGACAATTAAAAAGCAAGACCAACAGTTAAACCGCCCCGCCCGGAGACAGGGAGGTAATAACTGGAGTTAGCGAAAAAGGACTCACCAGGCGTCGCACTGTACAGTGCGAGCAGGACAGCGGAGGCGCGAGAGCGAGAGAGCACTACCGTACGGGGACGGATGTGCGGACTACCCAGACGCGACCGCTCGAGAGCGGTGCCACAGGCGGAATGACCCGATTAGGCTAAAACTTGGTGTATATACTAACAATGAGTCACTCAACTAGCGCCTAGTGGGGGAAAGTTTGCGCATGTACAACGGGACGTACCAATCGCGCGCTCGGAAGTCGACTGACCAACCAATCGGGCGCTCGGAACGATGCTACTTCGTTCCCGCGCCCCGCTTGTTAACCAAAGAGATCTAAACAAAACATTCCGCGAACTTTTTGACCTCCTTTCGTATCTTATACTTCTGCTATTAGTTAGGTATTTATTTGTTATACAATTAATTTTTAAGAATTGTTCTCAACTATAAAAAGTACTAGGTAATAAATACTCGGTAACAAGAAAAATTACATTCACTAAATTCTTTTGATCATTATTTTGTTATTCAGTTGTTCAGTTGTGTATGGCATATGATTTTCAATTATTAAGTAATTATTAGAAAGTTAAGGTGAATAACAATAATTTAAAATTAAAAATTTTGTACAGCCGACTTTTTTTTTTTTATATAGGATAGGGTGACAAACGAGCACACAGTCCACCTGATGGTAAGTGGTTGCTGTGGCCCATAGACATCTACATTTATCCTCGTTTGCGAATCAAAGTGCAGATGCGTTGTCACCCGTGAGGACTAAGATGGAATGCCTCTTTTCCAGTAAAAAACCCTTTTTTCGGTTCTCTACACTCACCATACGAAACACAGCAGTGTTAAGCTGCTATTTTACGCTGGTATTCTGTGAGAGCGTGGTCCTTCTCCGGTCGAGCCGCCCCATTCGTGCTACAACTATACTACTAATATAGCTGCAGCATGGCTCTACCACGTAAACTTAGTTATAATAATATATAATAAATGTATAAATAATAACAAATTTAATAATAACTTAACTTCAATATAAGTTATTAAGAATAACTGAAAAACTATTGGTCTGACCTAGATCAAATTCATATGGGACCACACGAGATGTATCAGCTTTCAAATAAAAAGAATTATTGAAATCGGTTCACCCAGTAAAAAGATTTTACGGCAGAAAAGGTTATCCGGTTCTCTAGACTCATCATTCGAAACAGCAGCTTTTTTAGGACTATCGTAAAATCCGTTTTCTGCCGACTTTTTTATACCGACTTCAAAAAGGAGCCAGTACTCAATTCGACTGTATGTTTTTTTTATGTGTGTCCTCATAACTTTGTACTGGGTGAACCGATTTCGATGATTCTTTTTTATTTGAAAGCTGGTACATATGATCAAGGTCAGACCAATAGTTTTTGAGTTATTCTTAATAACTTATATTGAAGTCGGCTGTACAAAATTTTTAATTTTAAATTATGTAATTTCTATCATGGGTAGATAAGCAACTTTGATTCTTTTGTCTCCTGCCTCATGTTTCTTATTACAATTGCACAGGTTTGGCTTGGACCGATAGTCATGGAATTATGGCTTTCCAATAAGTGCAGTTTGGCATTAAAAAGTGTAAACCACAGAATTTTGCATTTAGCATGTTTGTCTTCTAGAATTTAGACCATCGATATATAATTTGCCTTTTTTATCAAATCCAATTATATTCTGTTTTATTTTTTAGTATTTAAATATTTAAATTTACTGAATCACTGGTCATTCATTCTTGTCTGTTTTGAGCTACTCGTATTTTTTTAATTGGCAAAGGTAGTGAAATATAGCAAATTATTTATTTGAATAAAAATCCTGCAGGGTTTCTTGTATGTTCTCTTCAAGACCAGTATTTTTAAACCTGAATTCATTAGTACATATTTAGTAATATTCTTAATTATAATTCTAATGTCCTTGAGATCGAATTCGATAACGGCGGCTTGTATTCATTGAGACTTCACTGATTATCTGTGCAGGAGAGGATTATAGTGCCCAAGTGCATGCGCAAGCACAGGTGCACTCTATATTACCTCACTCTCATAGTCAGATGGGACGGCAATCCGACACGACCGCAGAGAGATCAGGCGCAGAACCAACACGGCTTTACTTGTTTTTCGAAGCACAGGGGTGAAACACCGCCGAATTCCTGAGTCTTGGCTGCTACTGTCAATTTCTTAACAGAAAAACTCAATAACTGATGTTAGCCTGACCCGGAATTCAAACCTGGGACTTCATGAACAGCAATTGTGTTAATGACCACTAAACCATCGAGGCAGTCATCATAATTATAATGCACCATCGTAATATAGTGATGGTGTAAGAATATCCATTACTCTATTTGGTCCAGTGGGTGTCAGTAAAAGGCGACAGAGGGAAACTAAAGGAGGATATGGGCAGTAGCATCTTTTTGATTACAACTCAAAACTATAAAAAACTGTGGTTGCTAATTCTAGGAAAGGCCTATATTCAACAGTGGACTGCTGACACATTACCTGTCCTGTGACCCACACATGGGTCATTGCTATTGTCTTACTATTGTGTTTAGAAAACGGACAGTGAAAGTGTTAAGGCTATAATGAATGAATAAAAGGGTGATGTAATTAAATAATTTTAATAATCTACATTTATTAAAAAACATTCTATTGTATTTGACAGCTTGTAAACGACTATGTGCGCGACACATACTATTCCCGGCAGAACATCACTGGGCGAGACGTATTTAAACTGAATGTTGCGGCTTGCCGGCTCACATTAGACCTGATGCCTGGGTTGGAGATGAGTGTCGTTTTTCAGGTCAGTTCAATTAAAAACACATCTTTTTTTAACTAAAATTTGTATCTATCTTTTATATGTATAAAAGTGGTTGTCCTGAGTGACCTATCGTCTATCAATGCATAGCGCAAATCGTTTGACGTAGATGTCAGAAATTCGGACAGCAGCTGCCTTTTGTAACATAAGCATCCATTAAGAAAGAATTTTGGAAAATAGTTTTTGTAACATAAAACACAACCATGAGTCCCCAGGACTCACACTCGATCAAATCTCACCTTTGCAAATGACGTGGCCATGCGAACGCTTACCTCTGCGTCCCGCTTAATTTCAGAAAGGTACCGGATCGCAGGACTCCAAATGTTTACTTGATTTTTGTTGCTTGGAAACAGTGTTGAGTCCCGTGGAGTCAGGGTGCTGAAATAAGGGTTAATACACTGTTAGATATAGGGTATTCTATTGTATATGTATTTATACAAGACTTGGTCTTTTACTAGTCTCTGTGTGAAGCTTAAAAGCCTTCAGCAACCTATGAAGAGAGTTGGAGTTCTTTGTGTGATAGAATACAAGATGGAGATATCCGCAAATGGACGACTGTAACTGATATAGCCCAATGGATAAGTAAGCTGAGGTGTTGGGCTATTTCAGCAATGTGCCGGCCATATAGTTGGAAGAACCAATAGGAAAAAATATTTTCGAGGAGTAGCCTTGTACTGTGAAATGTAGTATTGGTTGGCCCATTAGCTGGAATGATTATTTAAATCCTTGGAGGTTGGTATTTCAGGATATGTCTACACAGTTACGGTTACAACACGGTTCTGACCCACCTGCATACATCAACTTCCTACATTTTTTACCAGGTTACTTACCAGTATGAGGCTGCCACATGAGAACCTTTTATCTCCATTGGTGGTTTTTCAAAGAATCAATAAGCTGATCCGTTGAACTGTGTCATGTAGTAAATGACTTTAAGCATCTTCATATGGCCAGCAGTGAAGGAAAATGTTTTAAATCCATATGTCATCACTAACTTGAACAGTGGTAGAGCTAAGCGGTAGCTTTTGCTGTCGCACGGATGGGCCAGCTCGAACCGGGGTAGTGCCACGACCTCACAGAATACCAGCGTGAAGTAGAGGTTTCCCTCTGCGTTGCGCTTGGTGAGTGCAGGTGGCCGGAGCCCCAATCCCCCCCCCCCCATCAACATGGTAGTGGAATTAAATAAAAGACTACCCCAGGAGGGTACCAGCACCCCTGGAGAATCCCTCGCTGAGCATCCACGATCAAACTACTTCACTCCTGAGCGTGGGTGCTCAGGCTGCCCCGCGTATTCTGGGGGGGGGGGGGGGGGCAAAATTTCGCTCGCGACTAATGCTGCTCGGGGTAAGCGGAGCAATACAACCAAGGCGACCCCTGTCACGCTATCCGTGAATTTTTGCAACATCAGGGGACTTCATTCCAAGCCTAACGCTGTCCATTACCACCTAGAGACGGCGAAGCCGGCCTTGCTCTTTTTAACCGAGACTCAGGTGTCATCTCCGGCCGATACTTCATATCTCTCCTACCCGGGGTACAAATTGCAACACTCCTTTGTGCCCCGGGCTGGAGTTTGCGTATACGTCAGAGTGGACATCTGTTTTCGACGCCTCGGCAGTCTTGAAGGTACGGACCTGTCCATCCTATGGCTGCGCGTAGACAGCGACGACCATCCCCGCGTCTACGGGTGCCTCTGTAGGTCCCATAGCGGTAATGCCGACACAGACCGACTCATCGACCACGTCCAAATGGCTGCAGACTCCGTGCTACAACAGGTGTCCCATCCGCAGAGATCGTGATACTCGGTGATTTTAACGTCCACCACGCTGAATGGCTTGGTTCTCGTTTAACCGATCATGCGGGTAGATCTGTCTATGACTTTGCTTTGGCATATGGTCTAACACAACTGGTTACATCGCCTACGCGGATCCCAGATGTGGAAGACCATGTACCTTCCCTGTTGGACCTTCTGCTGACCTCTCATCCGGACGGATATCAGGTCTCCGTCGATGCCCCTCTCGGCTCTTCGGACCATTGTCTGATCCGGAGTGTGGTGCCACTCACGCTCCCTTCGCGGTTGCGATCTGCAGCTTGCAGCCGTGTTTGGCACTATAGGTCAGCTGATTGGGACGGGATGCAGTCTTTTTTTGCATCCTACCCTTGGGGACGTGTTTGCTTCTCGCCGGAAGATTCCAGCGTTGTTGCCGATTCTGTTGCTGATGTGGTACTTCAGGGTATGGAACTTTTTATTCCATCCTCTGTGGTGCCCATCGGAGGCAGATCCCAGCCATGGTTTGGTCGCTCCTGTAAAATAGCATCACGCTATAAGCAGGAGTGCTACCGGGCCTGGGCTGACGCATCAACGTCTTGGGATGTAAACACCAGCGCACTTAAAAAGAAGTATAACTCCGCCTCCAGGTCCTTCAAAAGCGTCATTGCCAAGGCAAGGTCTGAGCACATCGGCAGAATTGGCGAGAAGCTAGTTCGCCTTCCTTCGGGAACCCGTGCATTCTGGTCTCTCGCCAAGGCTGTCCAAGGGAACTTCTGTCAGCCATCTCTTCCATTTCTGCACAGAGAGGACGACTCACTGGCCCATGCCGCAAAGGAGAAAGCCGATCTGTTGAGCTCTCTTTTTGCGTCCAACTCGACTCTAGATGACGGGGAGAACACACCGCCGCCCATCCCGCGGTGTGAGTGCTCCATGCCGGATGTGCGGTTTACACAGCGCTCGGTTCGCAAAGCACTCTTCTCCCTGGACGTCAGCAAGTCGAGTGGGCCTGAAGGAGTCCCTCCCATTGTGCTGAAGACGTGTGCTCCGGAGTTGGCACCGGTTTTAACGCGTCTTTTCCGGTACTCCTACTCCCAAGGCGTAGTCCCGAATTTATGGAAGACAGCTTTGATCCACCCGATCCCTAACAAAAGGCGACCGCTCAGACCCGTCCAACTACAGGCCTATTGCTATCACCTCCTTGTTTTCCAAAATAATGGAATCCATTATAAACTGCCAGCTCATGAGGTACCTTGAGGATCACCAGCTGATTCGTGACCGCCAGTACGGTTTTCGTCGAGGTCGATCAGCTGGTGATCTTCTAGTCTATCTTACTCATAGATGGGCGGAGGCAGTAGAGTCCAAGGGGGAGGCATTGGCCGTTAGTTTGGACATAGCGAAGGCCTTCGATCGGGTCTGGCACAAAGCGCTTCTTTCGAAGCTTCCTTCCTATGGGCTTCCCGAGAAATTGTGCAAATGGATCACCAGTTTCCTTGCTGATCGGAGCATCAAGGTCGTAGTAAACGGTGCATGCTCTGATTTCAAGCCTATCAACGCTGGTGTTCCACAAGGCTGCGTGCTATCACCAACGCTGTTTCTCCTGCATATCAATGATGTTGCTAACTGGTAGCATTCATTGCTATGCAGACGACAGCACTGGTGATGCCTTATATACCGGCCGTGCCAATATTTCTCGGGAAAACGTCGCTGAGTACCGGGACAAACTTGTGTCTGAAGTCGAGTCTTTGCGTAACAAAGTCTCGGATTGGGGCCGACTAAATCTAGTCCAGTTCAATCCCCAGAAGACACAAGTTTGCGCGTTTACCGCTAAAAAGAACCCCTTTGTCGTATCTCCTCAGTTTCAAGGCACTCCCTTTGCTGCCTCAGCTAGTATCGGAATCCTTGGCTTCGACATATCGAATAGTGTGCAGTTTCGTGGTCACTTGGAAGGGAAGGCCAAATTGGCTTCTAAAAAGCTTGGCGTGCTCAGCAGAGCGAGACAGTATTTCATGCCGGCACATCGCTTGCAACTTTACAAAGCGCAAGGTCGGCCTCACATGGAATACTGTTCTCATCTCTGGGCTGGGGTACCTCAGTGCCAGCTCCTTCCACTTGACCGCATCCAGCGCAGAGCGGTTCGAATCGTGGACGACCGAGTTCTTTCTGATCGACTCGATACACTGGCACTGCGTAGAGATGTTGCATCTCTTTGCTATTTTATCGCATCTATCACGGGGAGTGCTCTGAGGAATTGTTCGGACTAATTCCAGCCGCTCAATTTCACCATCGCACATCGCGACAAAACTCGCGTTACCATCCATACCATCTGGATGATTGGCGGTCCACCACTGTGCGATTTAGAAGAAGTTTTCTTCCTCGCACAACTTCCTTGTGGAATCAATTACCACCAGCGAATTTTCCGGACCGATACGACTTAGGAACCTTCAAGAAAAGAGCTTACACCTTTCTAAAAGGCCGGCAACGCATCTGCAATTCCCCTGGTGTTGCGGTTGTTCATGGGCGGCGGTAGTCACTTACCATCAGGTGAGCCACATGCTCGTTTGCCCCCTCTTCTATAAAAAAAAAAAAACTAGCAAAATGAACTGATGGCACACCAATTTTAATACCGTAATGCCGTTCTCCACCACTATTGAATTAAATCTAGCATACTTGAATGGACTTTCTATCATTAGCCGGTCGCCAGTGCCTGGTTTTTAAGTAAATGGGGTTCACTGCAGGTATTTAGGATATGCACCTTTATTTCTTAGATTTTTCACATCTTTATATAAATAAATGTTAGTGATCATGTAAGTTATTTGACTGATTGTAGTCATATCCATACATATTATCTTTGTCGAGATAATGTTTCACAGTTATTCTAAGTTCCGATAGGTGGAGCTGTAATCAAGTTATTAACTTTTTTTATTTATTTATGGACAAAACTCAAAACTCCAGCACAGTACGCGTTGGCTTAGTGCCAAAATAGAAAGTCACTAAATCTGATTCCCATAGGTGGCTGTGTTCGAGTTATTATTATTTAAAACCTTTACCTTATTATAAAGTTTTATAATTGTAAAAGAACACTAACAAACTAGTTAAAATTTTAAAAAATATATAATAAATAGGGTAGGTAACCCTAGGTAATCTCCCGCCCCTCACACACACGCATGCGCACTCATATACACACATGACATTATAAAAAAACAATGGTATTAAAGGCGATGATGGACTCTCTCCATAATCATACTAAAACACGATTTAAAAATGTCTGTTTCCTTCTCAGGACAATGAGGCTTTAATCCAGCGCCTGGTGAGCTGGGCGACAAAGTCCCCGGAGCCGCTGCAGTGTTACGCCACCGGTCTCGTCGCTGCCGCTATGGAGGTCCAGGAGATTGCCACTAACTTTAGGTTAGTTGAAGTACGTGGTAGAGTAACGCTGTAGCTATATATACGTGGTAGAACCACACTGCAGCTATAATATGGTTGTATCACGAATGACTCGGCTCGACCGGAGTAGGACCACGCTCTCACAAAATACCAGCGTAAAATAGCAGCTTAATGTTGTTGCGTTTCGTATGATGAGTCTAGAGAACCGGGGACCTATTTTACTGGAAACGAGGCATTCCATCTTAGTCCTCAGGGGTGACAACGCATCTGCATTTTGATTTGTAATCGAGGATAGATGTAGATGTCTATATGGGCCACAACATTCACTAATTATCAGGTGGACTGTGTGCTCGTTTATCACCCTATACGATAAAAAAAAAACGAACTTTGCTCACCTTGGTGTGTAAGAAAGTAATCGAAATTTTGTTTCAGGGATTTAAACGCAATGCTGGTTCCCCTTATGCTTAAGAGGCTACATGAATTAAGAAATAAAACGCAGGAAGATAAAGTAAGTTAAAAATTAACTAGGGCCAGTTACATAATTTAGAACTTTTTTCTGTTTTTAATCAAATGAGTTTTATACATAACGCATATTGTGGGTTGGAAGCCTAAAACCTATTGTAGACACATCTATTTCTCATTTGTAACTAATTTAATCATGTACTAGCTGTGTCCCGCGGTTTCACCCGCGTATATCACGCGTCTGCGCCTTGCGACATGTGAACTTCAAAAGAGACATCACGACGGACGGTTGCTGAATTAACAAAGATTTAAAAAGTGAAATATGTTACTAAAATTACATGGTTAACGTAATTGGTGGTTATGCATGATACAGGTACTGATACGAATAATGTGGCCTAGTTTGTACCGGCGTTACTATTTCACATTTTAACATGAAAAAATAGTTATTGTGATCTAACTGTAATACTTAAACATATGGTATCGCAGACTTTTTTGTGATATTGATATCCTCTATAAAACTGAAGTACATTACTTTGCTTTATTATCAATAGTTTCAGCAGCGTACGCGATAAAAGGATTCTTTTTGGTATTTTTTTCATACTTTGGGTTACATTAACGAAGTTTTCATACGGATCCCTAACTTTTTGGAAATTATTATATAGCCTATGTTCATCAGGGATAATGTAGGATTCAAATGGTGAAAGACTTTTTCAATCACACACACACACGCACACACACGCACGCACGCACACACACACGTACACGTACACGTACACACACACACACACACACACACACGCGCGCACACACACACACACACACACACACACACACACGCGCGCGCACACACACACACACACACACACACACACACACACAGACACACACAGACACACACACACACACAGACACACACACACACACACACAGACACACACAGACACACACACACACACACATACACACAGACACACACACACACACACACACACACACACACAGACACACACACACACACACACACACACACAGACACACACACACACACACACACACACACACACACACAGCTTATAATTTCGTCGTCCAAAATCGCTCAGCCTTTTCAAAGACCTATTTTACTGGAAAAGAGGCATCATATCTTAGTCCTCACGGCTGACAACGCATCTGCATTTTAATTCGCAAACGAAGATAGATGTATGTAGATGTCTATGAACCACAGCATCCACTTACCATCGGATGGATTGTGTGCTCGTTTGTCACCCTAATTCTATAAAAAAATATTCTCGTAGTCGCTTCCTGCCGTAGTTGATTCTCCGATCGCCGACACACGCTTTTATACTTAACAAAAAGAATATAGAACTTTCTAGACCTATCCAGGTCATTCCACTCTTTCAACTGGAAAGTACTAGATCACTCGCGATAACATAACGATAACTATATCCAAAGGGGCAAAGGCAGTTACTTGACAGAGACCACTGACCCTTATTGTCCGGAACATTTTCGAGCAATGAGACGCAATACGCAACTGGCTGTCATAACAATATCAATCTTTGAATCTTAAATATGACAAGCAAATAAAAACTACTTCATTACCATCATCACTATGGTCTATTAAAATGCAGTCCTCATAGGGGGAATATTTGTCATAGTTACCATAGTTGCCACGCTTGGCTGGCGGCGAGTTGGCAAAATCAGTTTTTTATTATTTCGAGTTGTTATCACGAAGATGCTACTGCCCATTTGCTGTTTCAGTTTCCCTCTTTCGCTTCTTACGACACCCACGAGATAATATCGCTACTAGATGATATGATACGGCACTACACGGGCTAAAAGAGATCTTACTTAAAACTATATTATAACTGCTTGAAGTTGTTGCGGGAAGCACTCGCTTGTTAAAAATTAATTAGCTATAACGTTCACGTGAAAAGTAAAAATGATGTGTCTTATTAACTAATTTGAAGAACACTAGCAACGTGTCATCGCAGTCTTCCTAGTGCTCTATGCATGCTATTGGGGCAGGGAACTGCTCTTCAAACTAGTTAAGACAATTTTTATTTTTCGCCCGGATATTAGATAATTAACTTAATAAATTTAACAGACTAATCGGTACACCTGGAGACGCACTTATTATTATTTTTTATTTTTATTTATTTATGTACACACAACAAGATACAGAAACAGTCTTATAGTGACTTTGTACAAAGGTTCTACTTATTCCATAAATTACTGAAATATCTTCCAGTAGACCCACAAGGGAAAATATATTTAAAAAGGCAAACTTAGTGCGTACAATACTAATACTACTGTAAATAATATACAAAAAACATACGTAAATTATATTATTTTGATTTTATTTTATTATATTTTACTGTGTTACTAATAATACTATTTTACTCTTGTTTATTGTAATAAAATTCTAATATTAAACTAAAATTCTAAACAGTTAGGTAGCAAAAAACTTTTCACTACGGCCCTTCGTTTTAAAATGCCAAATACTCGGTGTACGTTGCATGCGGCGAACTTTGATATCGTGGCGGCGCCTTTGACAAGTTGCGGCACGTGCCAAGGCGGCGCGACTCTTGTATATAGAGAATACTCGTACAATAAATAATTTCTATTTAGATAAATGGTCCGTTACGTAAAAAAACTTATTTCCGAAGAAACACAAATACCATATTATATTATCTAAACTGGAGGAAATAATACTTTATAGCGAGATATTAAATTAATTTTTAATTAAATTAACTTTGGTATAAACAGAATCACAACGAAGTTCTGTTTATACCAAAGAGGGTTAATAATCTTACGCTAGTTGTGACTAAGGTGAACCTTTTTGTTACACAGTATCATCATCATTGAAAACTTGCGATTTAATTATAATATAATTATAATACACAAAGCAATGCCCCAAGTGCTGTATTCTTTAATTTTTCACATATTTTAATTTTTTTTCATTCTTCTAATTTTAGGAATATCCGATTTATCTATTGCGAATGTTATATTTTTTTTTTTTATAGAAGAGGGGGCAAACGAGCATGCGGCTCACCTGATGGTAAGTGACTACCGCCGCCCATGAACAACCGCAACACCAGGGGAATTGCAGATGCGTTGCCGGCCTTTTAGAAAGGTGTAGGCTCTTTTCTTGAAGGTTCCTAAGTCGTATCGGTCCGGAAAATTCGCTGGTGGTAATTGATTCCACAAGGAAGTTGTGCGAGGGAGAAAACTTCTAAATCGCACAGTGGTGGACCGCCAATCATCCAGATGATATGGATGGTAACGCGAGTTTTGTCGCGATCTGCGATGGTGAAATTGAGCGGCTGGAATTAGTCCGAACAATTCCTCAGAGCACTCCCCGTGATAGATGGGATAAAATACGCAAAGAGATGCAATATCTCTACGCAGTGCCAGTGTATCGAGCCGATCAGAAAGAACTCGGTCGTCGACGATTCGAACCGCTCTGCGCTGGATGCGGTCAAGTGGAAGGAGCTGGCACTGGGGTGCCCCAGCCCAGAGATGAGAACAGTATTCCATGTGGAGCCGACCTTGCGCTTTGTAAAGTTGCAAGCGATGTGCCGGCATGAAATACTGTCTCGCTCTGCTGAGCACGCCAAGCTTTTTAGAGGCCAATTTGGCCTTCCCTTCCAAGTGACCACGAAACTGCACACTAATCGATATGTCGACGCCAAGGATTCCGATACTAGCTGAGGCAACAAGGGGAGTGCCTTGAAACTGAGGAGATACGACAAAGGGGTTCTTTTTAGCGGTAAACGCGCAAACTTGTGTCTTCTGGGGATTGAACTGGACTAGATTTATTCGGCCCCAATCCGAGACTTTGTTAAGTAAAGACTCGACTTCAGAGACAAGTTTGTCCCGGTACTCAGCGATGTTTTCCTGACAAATATTGGCACGGCCGGTATATAAGGCATTACCAGTGCTGTCGTCTGCATAGCAATGAATGCTACCAGTTAGCAACATATCATTGATATGCAGGAGAAACAGCGTTGGTGATAGCACGCAGCCTTGTGGAACACCAGCGTTGATAGGCTTGAAATCAGAGCATGCACCGTCTACTACGACCTTGATGCTCCAATCAGCAAGGAAACTGGTGATTCATTTGCACAATTTCTCGGGAAGCCCATAGGAAGGAAGCTTCGAAAGAAGCGCTTTGTGCCAGACCCGATCGAAGGCCTTCGCTATGTTCAAACTAACGGCCAATGCCTCCCCCTTGGACTCTCTGTGTAGAGATGGAAGAGATGGCTGACAGAAGTTCCCTTGGACAGCCTTGGCGAGAGACCAGAATGCACGGGTTCCCGAAGGAAGGCGAACTAGCTTCTCGCCAATTCTGCCGATGTGCTCAGACCTTGCCTTGGCAATGACGCTTTTGAAGGACCTGGAGGCGGAGTTATACTTCTTTTTAAGTGCGCTGGTGTTTACATCCCAAGACGTTGATGCGTCAGCCCAGGCCCGGTAGCACTCCTGCTTATAGCGTGATGCTATTTTACAGGAGCGACCAAACCATGGCTGGAATCTGCCTCCGATGGGCACCACAGAGGATGGAATAAAAAGTTCCATACCCTGAAGTACCACATCAGCAACAGAATATCTTATATAAATAAACATAATTATAATTAATATAAAATATAACCAATATTTCAGAGAGAAACATTAATCTATACACTTTTGTAACAAATTAACTTTCTATGCAACGAAATCTGTCCAATATTTCACCCCATTCCTATGTGCCGCCACTCTGATGGCAGAAAAAGTGGATTTGTTATATGTACATACATTAAAATTGCGCTTTATTGCCTACAGCAGACAAATCAAAATTCGGTGACGCCGCCTAACCAGACGCGTCACTTCGCGCGATTTGACAAGAAACGCAACAACGACATTAAGTGCAACGGCCCTATTGTGGACAAAAAAGGTAATTTTTTTAAAATAAGTTTATGGTCTTCCTCACGTGGCCAGTGGTGAAGTACCATGTCTTGGTTCTATAAGTCATGAGCAATATGCACTGGTAATACCTATGCAGATAAAGAATGGTATTGAAAATGGCGTCGCCTCTATTCACCTCCCGCTAGCACACTGTCGCTATCTATATTCACACCCGCCGGTAAACTACAAAAAAAAAAAAAACGTTGCGATATGCGTTTTTTTACACCTTATAACTTCATTTCGATTTGTGATTGTCATCAAGGGTAACAAATGTCATAAACTACAAAAAAAAAACTTCAGCTAGTCATGAATATTATTTTTAAATTAACTTGCGTATATAATTATATTTAAATATTTTCCTATTAATAAAGAATTTTCAGTTAACTGAATATTACATTTTAATTAACATATAGTAGAATTATTTTGTGCGTGCAGTTGGGGTCATAAATCATAGCTCGGCCTCAGCCAGGTTAGGGCGGTGAGCATGTTGCGTGGGGGCAACGCCATTATCGATAACAACAAATTTAATTTTAGATATAAGTGACAATAAATATAAATATAATATATTTATATTTATTTTTAATATAACTTGTTACATTCCAAACATTTGTACTTATAGTTTTTTTAATACATAGATACCTAATTAATAATTTATTTGAAATCATTATTATCCTTATTTTAATAAATATGTTGTTTTATCTATTTTTTTTTCATTTTTATCACTAACCCACGTAATGACAAAACTAAATACACTATCGATAACGCTTATCGACAACAATAATGTACATCACTATGCTCGCCCCTAAGGCCCGCGAGTGGGAGAGAGAGCGAAATACTCCGATGATTTATGACCCATACTGCTTGCACAAAATAATTCTAGTATAGTAACGATATACAATTATTAGCGTGTTTTCACAATTGGAATTCTGCATGTTGACAGTAATTGCTCGATCAGCCATCATTTCTAATCACGTTCTTTATGAAGCGGCAGGGGAAAGTAGAAACAGGAGATTAGCAGCTTTTTTCTGATCGCAACACCACAATCTCCCTGTACATAAAAATAATTTAGCTCTTTACAAAACTATACATACGGTCGCGCGAATACTTCTTCCATCCAATTCGCCTGTACCTTTTAAATCCTTTTCCCTATAAAGACACTTGGACATAAATGATACTGCGCACCGAGCCTTATGTGCGAACGCTCTATCTGTGAATACATCTGCGATCTTGCGCCGAATTATTAAGCATTTGACATTTTTCATAGTCGCCTCTCACGACATCCACGACGAAATAGGGTGATGCTCAAAATTATATTTATATTTTATTTGTTTTACATGATAGGGACATAGTAGCAAGCCATGATTTAAAACCTAGTCGCTCACACAAAAATTTAAGGATGATAATAATAATAATAAATTACCTTTGGCCTCTCAATGCGTTTATGAAAATGGAATGTATGTACACAATAATAAAAGTGGTTTTAACAAAATAAGTGATATTCATTCTGTAAATACTAAGAATAGACACAAGGTAGTTGTACCAGTTACTCGACACCACCGAATAAGTAATTCCGTATTGGTGCAATGTATACGTTTTTACAATAAAATCCCAGAAAATGTATTAAATTTCACCTACACAAAGTTTAAAAACTTAAAGATTGTATGAAAAGGGCTATTATAATATTAAGGAATTTATGGATGACAATAACCCCTGTGAATGAGGTGATCGCTACCAAGCTATTTCTAATTTGTTGTGTTGTTAATTGTGTAACATATATGATTGTAAGCTGTAATTTTTTTGTCAAAAAAAGTCCTGAGTTTGTTGTTGATTCTTCCCAGGATAGAGGTAATTTTCATAAGTATTATTTATTATCTTTATTGAATAACAAAGTTTCTGTTTCTCTATATAGTTCGATAAAATGTCGGGTGGCGGTGTATCATGGTAAAACGGTTTTTTTAAATAAAACTAATTTTACGGATTTTATCGCGTATATTAACTTATTTTTACACTCCCGACGTTTCGGGTGCTTTCCAGCACCCGTGGTCACGGGGGACTGAGGTGTTTGACGTCCTGCTGTCATAGTTAGCCCGGCTACCTTCAGTTTTTTAATATTAATTTTTGGTTCGATTTACGCAGAATGAGCTTACAGTATCTTGAAGTCTAGCAGTGGTATACTTGGGTTTGGATTTGATTTTATTAATTATGGGATCCCAAGCAGATGGCAGCACCCATCCATCTTCTCTATTGAAATTAGGATGTTTTTTAATTTCAATAGCCTCGCGAATCATCCTTGGGAGGAATCGGTGTTCTTTTGCGAGGATTTGTGGTCTATCAAATCTAATGTAATGGCGGGGACGATCTTGAACATGTTCACAAACTGCAGACTTCCCGATACGTCGGTGCTTCACGTCAGCTATATGTCCTTTAACGCGGGTTTTAATAGATCTTAGGACAAACAAAAAGATCTATTAAAACCCGCGTTAAAGTACATATAGCTCCCAAGGATGATTCGCGAGGCTATTGAAATTAAAAAACATCCTAATTTCAATAGAGAAGATGGATGGGTGCTGCCATCTGCTTGGGATCCCATAATTAATAAAATCAAATCCAAACCCAAGTATACCACTGCTAGACTTCAAGATACTGTAAGCTCATTCTGCGTAAATCGAACCAAAAATTAATATTAAAAAACTGAAGGTAGCCGGGCTAACTATGACAGCAGGACGTCAAACAACTCAGTCCCCCGTGACCACGGGTGCTGGAAAGCACCCGAAACGTCGGAAATATAAAAATAAGTTAATATACGCGATAAAATCCGTAAAATTAGTTTTATTTAAAAATGTGTAGTGTTCGCGTAAATATAAGAAATCATTATGTAGAACGGTTTTTTTTTGTTTATATTAATATACTATTTATATTTTTCAGACCGTGAGAAAGATGAGGGTGGAGGAGGCGACATGTTAGTAGACGAAACCCCTCCACAAGCAAGCAAACATCCGGAAACACCAATTAAAAGCTATAACTGTGAGTTTGTCATCTTCCATTAACATTATTTTTATACAGTTAAAAGATTGTGATGATATTGTGACGCCTCATAATTATTATTATTAATAAATAATAATTAAATTCACTATACAGACATTTAAAAATGTCATAGAAATTATATTTTAAACAATTAAATGCAAATAATAAGCATAAAGTTCAAAAAATATCCATTTGGAATATTGAATATTATAATATCAGTAAACGCATAAAATGTCTCTAAAAATCTCTAAATTTATTAAAAACCTGCTTAAAATGTTCAAAATGTATCAAATCATATAAATACAAGGCGATTATATTGCAATAACAAAGATAAATAACATTTGTAATATAATAGAAAAAATGGATCAAAATTTTCTAAGTTGATGAAGGTGTTCTTGTATTGTTCCCTTATATTGGGGCGTTGCCGGAGACACATACCCAAGGTTGTACATATATATGGGGTGGTCGGCTGACCGACTGCTAGTACTAAGGTTGCACAATGACTAGTCCTATATTAGGGACTTATCATAGTAAGGTCTAACGAACCAAAGCATTAATATAGAAGGTCTCTATGATGCATAAGCATTATGATAGCAGAGTTATGACTTGAAGTCCCATATGAATAAGACATACAGTAGTATGGTCTATGAAATAAAGCAAATATGTGGAAGTCTCAAATATGTAAAAGCATTATATTGAAAGAAATGGGACTTGAAAAGGATTATTATAGTGGCGTGTAGGTTGCTTCGCAGCCTCTGAGACCGAGGTAAACTTGGACTCACTAACCGATGTGTCCTAGACATATCATCTTAGTGGCGGTGGTAAGCGGGTTTGTTGTAGCAATACGACTTGCCCGTGGACATCGCACACACCTACCGTTTGTGGGCGACGTCTTAGCGCATAGCGCTATGATACGTCGGCTATCTTTCGGATTAGGGTGATTGTGTTTGGTAGTACTTTTAAGTGCAGCAAGCATACTCAACTTCATGTCTTAGTGCAATAGCGCTATGATACATGGAGTTTTGGTTACTGACGTCTTAGAACCATGCTAGTATGATACGTTGGGGGTATTTTTAGTTAACAACATTATCAATTTTGTTACCAAAGTCGATAGGGATCATGTGGGTGTGTTGTGAGGGGGCGCCATCCGTATGATAGTTGCATTGATGCTTACTGCTTTTTTATTATATACTTGCAGTATTGCGTCTTGTGCAGCACACCCGCAGATCCATCTGCGGGTGTGCTGCACCTGAATCGACGCATCTTGTGGTTCTGGTCGATGGAGTTATGCGGGTGGTGATGTCTGCTGGGACTGTATGGGGGACCTTGTGATGGTGTAAGCCCGACGATAGTTATATTGATGCTTGTTGCATTCTGCAGCATTGCTTCTCTACGATGGTTGTTTGGCGGGTCGCTATTCTCAATGGCACTCCCTGCGTCTTGGTTTGACTCACAACCTAAGTAGCTTTGCCCAAGTCGGGTCCCTTCATTGCGGGGCTGCAGACTGTCTGCCCTCCATGATGTTTTATATAACAACTTAATAATATATCTCTATAAAGTTACCACCTTTGAAAGATTGAAGGCAACTTGTTGGTGGGTGAGACAAACATGATCGAAAAATGCATATACTCAACGTCAGTGACACAAACCCTTTCTTATGGCGAATTATTACTAATATCTTATAACTGCCTATTGGCTATATCTGCCATTGTATTGGTTGGTGGAGCATATGTGTCGACCTCATGCGGGTGGTAGCTGGAGGGAGAATCTGAGGAGGCCCTCAAGGCTGCGGTCGAAAGCCGCGCAACGTGGGACCCCATTCCCTTGAGGTGAGCGGTAGACTCATGACACGCTCTGCGGCCAATTGGCCGTGCTGACCATGCAATTGGTGGTGATGCCTTAAGCGCTTATTACATTATCCAATTTTTAGAAAATCTAATTAGGAACCTAAGTTGGAAGCTAGTGATCACATTACTCTAAATTGAATTCTAAATCGTGACGAAGCACATTCGTAAAAGAAGTATCGACGGGGTTGCACGTTTGATCGATGGCGCCGTATTTATCAAAACAGCAGAAAATAGGACTTGCCTTAGCCGTGGTGGGAACAATGGATATTATTTTTTTTATAGGATAGGGTGACAAACGAGCACACAGTCCACCTGATGGTAAGTGGTTGCTGTGGCCCATAGACATCTACATTTATCTTCGATTGCAAATCAAAATGCAGATGATGTCACCCGTGAGAAATAAGATAGAATGCCTCGTTTCCAGTAAAAAGGGTCTCCGGTTCTCTACACTCACCATACGAAACACAGCAGCGTTAAGCTGCTATTTTACGCTGGTATTCTGTGAGAGCGTGGTCCTTCCCCGGTCGAGCCGACCCATTCGTGCTACAACCATAATATAGCTGCAGCATGGCTTTACCACGTAGAAATTTATTAAAAAAAGATAAAAGAGTATATGCTGGGTTAAGGAATACTTGTCATAGTATTTGTAAATATTTAACAACACCTTGAAGCCCTCTTCACGCATTGCTTTTTTTAAATAGTTTTCATCATTTTTATTATACAAATAGGGCATTTATCCTATACAGGTCTATAATTTTCTTATACATATATAATATACAGGTCTATAATATATATATAACACCTCTTTTTCTGTGGACATGCTGCCACACGAACCACTGCTCAGTTCTGTCGCTTCACTCGCCATCGCAAAAAATGTCGCACGCGCAGTCAAGACATCCACTTAGGTCGAAGCGCGGGCGCCGACTGGTCGTTCTAAATCGTAACGTTGCGATTACACTGTCCTAAATTGTAGACAATTTAGAAAGTAGAGCGGTCGGGACCTCCAACTTTAACTAAATCGGATCCTAACTGTTCTAACTATGATTACACTTTCCAACTTCCTAATTAGATTTCCTAAAAATTGAATAATGTAATAAGCGCTTTACACTTACATCACGTCTGCAGGAACGGCGGTCTGGCAGGTGGTGGCGCTCACGGAAGGCTTTTTATGGCCAGTGTGCCTATTGATGCCTAACCCGTGTGACGTACATTCACTGTGGCTGGATTTGATCGTATTCTGTATGGCGTTTACACGCATTGACATGCGCGACTTCGGTCGATGTTTGTGCTTACGCACTGTCAAGGGGCCAAGTCCTCTTTTACTGGTTCGCCAGTTATTTTGCTTTGGACTACGGTTCAGTTCCAACTTAGCGTACCCTTCGGGGGGAGCGCATTAAAATGGTTGGCGCTCACCGTGCGCGGCGTGTATGGGGCCGTGTACCTCCTCCACATTTTTTTTAAAATGTGGGAGAGCGAAGCCCTTGTAGCTGGTATTTGATATAAATATTGTGAGCCTTTTCCAAGCGGGAAGGGATTAATTAATAAGGAATTGACTGTTGTGAACCAGATACAAGTGGAATAGGGACAATTTATTGTTCTTAACCTTTTTGAGCTCTGTCTTCGTGAACGGGGTTCTTTAGCTTATAAGACTCTACCAACAGCTTTCGATTGCTCTCGTGAATATTCATTCGTTCAAGATACACCTAAAAGAACTAAGTTACTATACAAACACAACGTAAAAAAGGGTCCTAACTGAGACGATCACGCCATAAATTTATTAAACGGCCTATATTTAAACCTTTAGAAAGATCAAGATATACTGGTCACATAAATTAGATATATTTATATATCTTACAGATATATATTCTAAAGAAATACAAGTGGATATATAGAAAAAGAAGAAAAGAGAAAAGAAGGGGGGGGGGGGGGTTCGTTACAATATGAAGGCAAATAGTGTTGCCATTTTGGAAAATTCTTCATATATTCTGCAATAAAACATATGTATGTAATTCATTCATTCCTAGTGACTCGTGTTACGAATCGGATCATCGGGTCGATTATTCAAATAGCTCATTACGAGTTCAGTACTCTGTGATCTGTGAGACCTTGATAATGTCGGTCGTCGGACACTACTATATTTTTGATTGTAGGCCTTGTCTAATCGTTTAATCCAAAAAATTTAATTGTAATCATCAGTACTTTGTTGCAACCCGGTTTAAATAAATTATTCACGATTGACACATGTTTTCTGTATTGGCTAGGCCACACATATCGCGATAGAATTTCGACGATAAAACTTCGTCTTCGGCCTACTGTGAAGGTGCCTAGCTATACTGCGCGTTGTAAAGTTTATTGACAGTTTATCGTGATAAACACACACTAAACAAAATGGACGCCGCGTGCGTCTATATTATATGGCATCGAATAATTATTTTTTACTATAACTTTGGCAATAGGTAGCAGCTTTAGACGCCTGCATTATTTATTCAAAATGTCCAATTAAATTATTTCTCTCCTCATTACTTCAAAAAACTGTCATTGTCGAAAATACGTCGTAAATTCTAATTTAATTCTACACGTCCGCTACGCACGATGTCTGCGGCCGCCTGAAGAGTGGCCGCACAAGCGAAGTTCATCGCGATAAAACGATTTGATGTACGATACTTCGAGAGTATACCGACCAGCGAAGCGATCTGCTTGCGACCTTGCACGAAGTGACGAAGTATTCACGAATATGTGGCTACATACATCGCGATAATGCGAATATTAGCGCGTGTCTGTGGCCGCGGCATAACGGTAACGGTGTGTTTGTGTGTGTGTCTGTCAGGCGCGGTGCGGTCCCCGGAGGCGGGCGGGCTGATGTCGCCGCCGGCGCGGCCTGCGCCGCACGCGCAGCCACCGCTGCATGACCCCTCCTCCAACTCCAGCTGGGCCGAGATGGAGACCTACGTCATTGGTACGCACGCACACGTACACGCACATGTACACGCACGCGCACACGTACACGCACTTACGTACATGTACGCGCGTATTAGATTATTATAGACATATAAGATTATCGAACCCCGCGTACTGTGAAATTTACAGCGAGCGCTTAGGCCCTGAGCTACCACAGCTCTCTTATAATTAAGTGTCGACTAATTAATTATAATTAGTGCGCACTTAATTATACGATAAGCTAGGGAACCAAGTACCGCAAGTAGATAATATGATACAAACTTCATTTAAATCTTAAGTAATAACAGTCTTGTTTTGTAGTAGGATAGGATAATAAAATAAAATATGTCAATGTTTACGCTCGAACGGTGGTTTCGGAATCGACGTCAGAGGGCGCGCGGCTCGGTGCAATACCGGTCTGACATTCAGTCGCGCGTAGGACGCGCAAGCGCAGCAGTCGTCTGCTAGCTGTGCGAATGTCTGCACGCTGTCAATTTTTGTGCGGGAACCGCGGAATAGTTAGGGCGTCTAGTAAATATCCTGTTTAGGATTTATAACGCGCATTCCTTGTTAGATAGCTTTTACCGGGACCTATTGGGTCCGACTCAGAATCTGTATAAGTGCATTCGACAATATTAGCTAGTGCGGCCTTTGATAGTCTAGAAATAACTGTTGCTACGCGAAGCGGCGGGCTTTATAACAAACGAGAGTTAGTGCCTTCTGTAAGTTAATTAATCGTACGATAGAGTTAATTGACTGTCATCGTGACGAACGAGGCAATTGATTGTGGACAACGCCGCGGAAGGTTCCCTCAATTTGGAGCGGTGTCGACGCCCGGGCTGCTGCCGACGGCCAAGGTCTAGGGTCAATCACCATCAGTCACACCAAGATACACATCACATCACCTTATTTCCCTTGCACTACACAACCACATGCGACCTGACCGACTCCGGAGGAACCAGTCGCCTTGAATATAGGTTAGTAAGCTCCGTCTAATATCCTCCCGGTCGACTGGCCGTAGTATAGTACGCTCCCCCATTTAGTTTAGTGTAATTAGAGAAATTCCACGTGGCCATATTCTGGCCCCGTCCCTCTGCTGCTCGTCGATGGGATTACCCATGGGCCCTAATCTCGTCATCCTTGATTGGGGCAGCTCGGGGCGTGTACAGTCAACTACCTTAGAAATTAGTTATTAAATTTCCTACTCATTTTATTGTCCATAATAATCTAACGCGAACACGCACATACTTATGCAAACAGATAAACAAACAGTGTCTCTAGTACAACAACTTACTAATTTTATGTTTGAATAAAACTATTTTTACGGATTTTATCGCGTTTAATTTATTTTATATTCCCGACGTTTCGGTTGCTTTCCAGCAACCGTGGTCACGGGGGACTGAGGTGATTGACGTCCCGATGTCAAAGTTAACCCGGAGTACCTTCAGCTTTTTAATTATTAATTTTGGTCCGATCTACGCAGAATGAACTAACTGTGTCTTGAAGTCTTGCAGTGGTATGCTTGGGTTTAGTTTTAATTTTATGAATTACAGGATCCCAAGCAGGTGGTAGTACCCAGCCTCCCTCTCTATTGAAATTAGGATGTTTTTTAATTTCAATAGCCTCACGTGTCATCCTTGGCAGGAATCGATGTTCTTTCGCGAGAACTTGTGGTTTATCAAATCTAATGTAATGGCGGGGGCCGTCTAGGATATGATCACAAACTGCAGACTTCCCGGAACGTTGGTGCTTCACGTCAGCTATGTGTTCTTTTACGCGGGTTTTTATTGATCGTTTTGTTTGCCCTATATATGAGAGACCACACTCACAATCAAGCTTGTATACTCCTGCATCTTGTAGAGGAATATTGCACTTGACGGATGGTAAGAACTGACTAATCTTCCTCGGCGGCTTAAAGAATGTTTTAATAGAAGCTCGGTTCAAGATGTAGCCAATCTTGTCTATGACACCTCTGACATATGGTAGTACAGCAGGCACACGCTCGACTGTGGCCGGCTTCACTCGGTCACTGTGACGTAGGCGCGGAACCCGAAGCTTGTTGTCGTGCAGAACCTGCTTGACGTGCTGAAGCTCGGCGGCCAGGTGTTTGCTGTCACAGATCCCTCGTGCTCTCTGCAACAAAGATTTGCCCACGGTAGCTAACTGTGAAGGGTGATGGTGTGATTCTCCGTTTAAGTATCGGTTTGTATGGGTCTTTTTTCTATAAACAGTGTGACCTACGGTGTTATTAGGATTTCGAATGACTAACACATCTAGGAAAGCTAAAGAATTATTTGCCTCTAACTCCATAGTAAATTGAATTTTAGAGTTTATGGAATTAAGATGTTCTAAAAATGCAGTTACTTTGTCTGATGGTAAAGTTGTCAAAGTATCGTCTACGTACCGCTTGTAGAAACTTGGAGTTAATGGTACTACTGCACCAGTAACTCCAAGAAATACTCCGAGAAACTGAATCTAGACGTTAATTCGATAATACCTGCGTGTGCCAAACCGCCGAAGTTGTATGGGTTACCAAAAATACACGAACCGAACGCTCCATTACGTCCAATAGTGAGTCAGATCGATTCGCCAACTTACAGATTGGCTCAACACTTAGCAAAAGTACTATCACCACTCAGAGGACATACAAGAGCACACACTAAGGATTCATACCATTTTGTCAGTAAGATAAAAGACCTATGTCTTACTGACAATGAAACTATGGTCAGTTTTGATGTTCAGTCTCTATTTACATGCCTACCTGTTGAAGACTGCATCTCAATTACAACTAGGAAACTAGAGGAAAACAACATGCCAGCAGAATATGCAGTATTACTCAGACATTGCCTTACATCTGGCTACCTATTGTGGAAGGAACAGTTTTACAAGCAAGTAGATGGTGTTGCGATGGGCTCACCGGTATCTCCCATTGTCGCCGATAATTTCACGGAGGACTTTGAGGAGAAAGCCCTGCTTACTGCACCAGTAACTCCAAGTTTCTACAAGCGGTACATAGACGATACTTTCACAATTTTACCATCAGACAAAGTAACTGCATTTTTAGAACATCTTAATTCTATAAACTCTAAAATTCAATTTACTATGGAGTTAGAGGCAAATAATTCTTTAGCTTTCCTAGATATGTTAGTCATTCGAAATCCTAATAACACCGTAGGTCACACTGTGTATAGAAAAAAGACCCATACAAACCGATACTTAAACGGTGAATCCCACCATCACCCTTCACAGTTAGCTACCGTGGGCAAATCTTTGTTGCAGAGAGCACGAGGGATCTGTGACAGCAAACACCTGGCCGCCGAGCTTCAGCACGTCAAGCAGGTTCTGCACGACAACAAGCTTCGGGTTCCGCGCCTACGTCACAGTGACCGAGTGAAGCCGGCCACAGTCGAGCGTGTGCCTGCTGTACTACCATATGTCAGAGGTGTCACAGACAAGATTGGCTACATCTTGAAGCGAGCTTCTATTAGAACATTCTTCAAGCCGCCGAAGAAGATTAGTCAGTTCTTACCATCCGTCAAGTGCAATATTCCTCTACAAGATGCAGGAGTATACAAGCTTGATTTTGAGTGTGGTCTCTCATATATAGGGCAAACAAAACGATCAATAAAAACCCGCGTAAAAGAACACATAGCTGACGTGAAGCACCAACGTTCCGGGAAGTTTGCAGTTTGTGATCATATCTTAGACGGCCCCCGCCATTACATTAGATTTGATAAACCACAAGTCCTCGCGAAAGAACATCGATTCCTGCCAAGGATGATACGTGAGGCTATTGAAATTAAAAAAACATCCTAATTTCAATAGAGAGGGAGGTTGGGTACTACCACCTGCTTGGGATCCTGTAATTCATAAAATTAAAACTAAACCCAAGCATACCACTGCAAGACTTCAAGACACAGTTAGTTCATTCTGCGTAGATCGGACCAAAATTAATAATTAAAAAGCTGAAGGTACTCCGGGTTAACTTTGACATCGGGACGTCAATCACCTCAGTCCCCCGTGACCACGGTTGCTGGAAAGCAACCGAAACGTCGGGAATATAAAATAAATTAAACGCGATAAAATCCGTAAAAATAGTTTTATTCAATGTGTAGTGTTCGCGTAAATATAAGAAATCATTATAATTTTATGTTGTTGTTGTTAGTTGACGAACGAATACCCTACAAAAGAATACTCGTAGTTTTTTACGAGACGTTTGTTCATTACACGAACAAGGCCTCAATTATCAGGGTATATCCATGATTTTACCTGTATTTTGAGCATATGAGCATATTACGTTGATGTTCTGTGAGAGCGTGGTCCTTCCCCGGTCGAGGAGACCCATACGTGCTACAACTATACCAGTAATATAGTTGCAGCATAGCACTTACCAGAATGATGTCATTATACAACTATGTATATGCCAAAATCCATTTTTTTTATAGGATAGGGTGACAAACGAGCACACAGTCCACTTGATGGTTGGATGGTTGCTGTGACCCATAGACATCTACATCTATCCTCAATAAAGGATCAAATTACAGATACATTGTCACCCGTGAGGACTAAGATAGAATGCGTCTTTTCCAGTAAAAAGGGTCTCCGGTACTCTACACTCACCATACAACACAGCAGCGTTAAGCTGCTATTTTACGATGGTATTCTGTGAAAGCGTGGTCCTACCCCGGTCGAGCCGACCCATTCGTGCTAAACTATACTACTAATATATAGCTGCAGCATGGCTCTTCCACGTGAAAAAATAAAATACATAGAAATGGATATAATAATCCGTTGTCTAGTTTTAAGTATTTAATCCGTAAACATTTTACAAATTTATTTATATATAAAAATTACGTGTCACATTGATTGTCCGCGATGAACTCCTAAACTAAAGAACTGATTGCAATGAAATTTAGCACACTTTGTGCAGTTTGGTCCAACTTGAGAGATAGGATAGTTTTTATCCCTACGTGACCCTCAATATTTTTTATTACGAATTTACGAATTTTTATAGGACACAGGGTTATCAGAGAGGGCAGAACAACGTCTGCCTGGTCAGCTAGTATATTACGAAAATTAATAGATTTATGTAATAAGCATAATCCACAAACTTTTGCTGTAAGGTTTTCATTACTTTCAGGTAACATCCAAATCCACCCGCCGACAGATGCCACTAAGCAGATGCTCATACTTAGGTACTTGACTCCAATGGGCGAATATCAAGAGGTAATTTTTTTTATTGTGACATTTTATATAACTAATCCGAGAAATTAATTTTTTTCTTTAACAATTTTATCATAGTTGACAACTATATAAGTATTCATTAACACTTGGTATTCGGGTCGGCAACTACTGATTTTATTTTTATTTTCAATTGTTATCTATACAAATAAATAAAATTGAAGTGTCTGTTTGTAATGTCAAAATTACAGCTTTTTACTAAATGTATATGACAAAAATACAATTTTTAAAATTTTTGTCTGTCTGTCTGTCTGTTTGTTCCGGCTAATCTCCGAAACGACTGGACCGGTTATGACGGGACTTTCACTGGCAGATAGCTGATATCATAAGGAGTAACTTAAGCTGCGCAAAAAATTAAAACTCCAAATAACACGCGAGCGAAGTCGCGGGTAACAGCTAGTTAATAATATGCTGCTGTTTATAAACTGTTTCAGTTCCCTCTGTGGCCTGTTACGATACCCGTAGAACGATATGGGTTAGTGGATCCGAAACCGTCAATACTGGTCGTATAAATAACCGGTCGTATAAATCGCGTACGAGCATCCATCACCCCATTTCACCAAAAGTATTGTGTATTGTTCAGCCTACTATGGGTTATACCAAAAATGTCTCATTACGTCCAACAGATGGCGGTAAAATCAAGTCGGTTACGGGAAGTAGCGTGGAAGATGCGTGACTATTATATTTCGTATACGGTATGATTTTACTTCACCGAATTCAAAAAAAGGAGGTTCACAATTCGACTGTATCTTTTTCTTTTATTTTTATGTGTGTTACCTCATAACTCTTCAAGGTGAACCGATTTTGATGATTCTACATCTATCCTCAATAAATACTCAAAATGCAGATGCGTAGTCACCCTTTTTTTTTTTTTTTTTTTTGCGGATGGAAAATCATCAAATGACGCCTTTCGCTCTGGTTGGAGCGGAAGGGAGTGTCAGACTTTTACTGACTAAAAACTATCCGTGTTCCTTCAGTGCCCTTACGTTCCGGAGCCGCGGTATCTCTTTCGAACAGCCCGCAGCCCCGGCAGGCGTCGGCCCTTGCGGGCCCCTTCACGCTGCTGACAGCTCTTTGAGGCGCGCGTGGAACAAAACGCGCCGTCGACACGACCTGTCGTCGTTAGACGGACGGACGGCGAGCTACCCATTGCTCGCCGTCCATAGGCCCGAGCCTACGGTGGCCGGGGGCCACGACGCCCGGGGCGTCTCCCGCGGCGGCCGGGAAGGAAAGCTGCTGCTCTCTCCTTCTCCCGCTCCGCCACCTCCTTCGCTAGCATCACTGCTTCGCAGAAGGTGGTGACGGCATCCCATTCCGTCTCGCTCCGGACCATGGCTTCGACCAGGGCCGGACGCGAGAGGTCGCCGCCGCCTATCGCTGCTACGAGGACACGGTGGTGCTCCGCCCAGGCAGGGCACACCTCCACGGTGTGCTCCACCGTGTCCTCCGGTCGATCCTCGCAGTGGGAGCACCCGGGCGTTTCCTCCCGCCCGATTCGGTGCAGGAACCTCCCGAACACACCGTGTCCGGTGAGGACCTGCGTCAGGCGGAAGGTGAGGACGCCGTGGCGTCTCTCAAGCCACTCCTCAAAGAGGGGTCTTATCGCCGCTATAGTGGCGTGCCCAGCACGGGGTTGCGATAGTCGCTCTCTCCATGTCGCCATGAGATCATGCCGGAAGTCTGTCCGCTGCACGACAACTTGCCGCGGCAGCGGGGTTTCCCCCCGGCATAGTGCCTCCGCGCGCCATTCGTGCAGGCGCGCGAGGACTATCGCTTCCAGATCCCATGGCGGCAATCCGGCAAGGAGGCACGCTGCCTCGCGGGAGATCGTGCGGTAGCCGCGAACCATTCTCACGGCAACCACCGTTTGGGGCGCGTTCAGGTGGTGGGTGGACGGCAAGCCGCGCCAAACCACGCGCCCACACCGGGGCCCCGTAAAGGGCCATGGACCGCACAATCCCCGCGTAGAGCCTCCGGCAGGAGGCGTTTGGCCCCCCCAGGTTCGGCAGGAGCCGCCTGAAGGCAGCCCCGGTCCGTTCCAGTTTGGGAGCCAAACGTCGGAAGTGCTCAACGAAGTTCCATCGGCCGTCGAGGACGAGTCCTAGGTACTTCAACGTCGACTCGACGCCGATGGATACCCCTCCTACCATCGCTGAGGATCCCGGTGGTGGCCTGTTCCGAGGACCATGGCAGTGCATGGCCTCGGACTTGTGCAGAGCCACCTCAAGACCCAGCTGCCGGATCCTCTCAACGACTATCGCAACCCCGCGTGTCATAGTTTCCGCCGCCGCCTCGTACGACCCCCCCTGTGCCAGTACCAGCGTGTCGTCAGCGTAGCAAACTACGCTGACGCCGGTAGGGAGGTCGGCGCGCAGCACCCAGTCGTAACCGATGTTCCACAGGGGCGGCCCCAGAACCGAACCTTGTGGGACACCGCACGACATCTCTCGCCGGTTCCACTCACCGTTGCGACCGGGGTAGATGATGGCCCTATCCGTCAGATAGTCCCCGACTATACGACGGAGATAGGTCGGCACCCGGTGATACCGGAGTGCCTCCCTAATGCAGCTCCAGGGCATGGAGTTGAAGGCGTTGGCGATGTCGAGAGACACCGCCAAAACAACCCCCCCCCTGGCCACTGCATCCCCCGTCGTGAGGGCTCTCACGCGCATGATGGCGTCCACCGTAGAGCGCCTCTTGCGGAAACCAAACTGGTGTTCCGCAAGATCCGGCCCCGTCCCCGCAAGGTGCTCGGCGAGGCGGTTTGCAATGACTCTTTCAAAGAGCTTGCCCACCTCGTCGAGCAGCACCACGGGCCGGTATGCGGACGGAGAGTCCGTAGGGCGCCCCGGCTTCCGAATGAGGACCAGCTTCCCCGTCTTCCAACGAAGCGGGAATTGGCCTCTTTCCAAGCATGCGCTTAGGAGCCCCTCCAGTCGGGGCCCGAGAGCCTCCGAGGCCAGGACCCAGGCTTTGCCAGGCAAGCCATCGGGTCCTGGGGCGGTATTCCTGGCCTTGAGCCTACGTACCGCCACTCTCAGGTCTACCCCGGTCCCTTTCGGGATGCCGTCGTCGTCGTCCTGGTGGTCCGCTTCCGGCACCGCAGGTGGCGGAGCCATAGGCGGGGGCGGATGTTCCCCTCGCGCAGGAAACAGAGCGCTCACCACGTCCTCCACGAGCTGAGGCCGGAGACTCTGCGTCAGCGGGGGGGCCCAGTGCCTGCAGTCTCGACATAAATAGTAACGCCATTGCTAACTGCCGATTGTTAAATAATAACGTAAAAAAATGTTTGCCGTAACGATGCTTACGATAAATGCAAGTCTCTACAGCCGAGATACCGAACAAAATTCTGACATATCTTCACTTTATGATGTTGTTAAGCTAAGGAAAAACGTATTCATAGTGCGGTGTTTTCTTAAAAAAATATTGGCTGTTAAAAAATCTCTTTGAATCACAGGGAAAATTGGTAGACATAATTTTATAAAAATAATTGCTTTTCTTTGAAAATTGTACAGAAACAGTAGAAACATTATTTTATAAAAATAATTTTCATAGCAACTTACAAGCAGCTTTTACCGTTTGTAAGAATTTAACTAAACTTGTTAAATATCAAAGGACATAAAAGTTTGACTCCTTGCAACACTGTACTAATGTCAAAATCAGTACAAAACAAAATTAAAGTTGACAATGTCTCAATGTTAACTTCTTGTTGATTGCAAAAATAATTAATTCTTAGTACGTATGATGTTCTTTTTTGTATCATGTTCGTGATATATTCAATGGTCTTAAGGGGAACAGTTATGCAGGCGCAGGCCCGGTTTCGAGCTGCACGTAAGTACAACCTACAACACCTAATTTCGAATCTATCGTTGTACCTATATTGAATGCTTTGTTAAAAGACTATGTAATGTTTACATTTTGAATATACTTCTATGTATTTTGCAGACGTAAACGCACACCACGCGTAACAAGGTGGCAGATTGAGCCACTTCTGTCGAAGTCAGCAGCTCGTCCATTTTTGTTTATAAGAAATTTTACCGGCCTGCAGGGCAAGAAGAATTTTAAAATGGGCTGGAAGAAAGTAGCCGACGACTTCAACCAGCTCCCCCTTTCAAAACGCCAGAGTAGTGGATAACAGTTAAGTTTCTATTAAATAATTTTCTAGATTTTCTTCTAATAGCTTATACATAAATCAGCCAGCACATCGTGCAGCACTAGTGTAACTAATATTTACTTGAATACATAATGATTTAGTTTGTAGGTATGTAGAGACTAAAAGCCGGGGCTTACTAAAGCAACAAAGTTAAGGAAAGAAAGGATAAAGACTGGCATTCGAGGCATTACCACTGAACAACAGGTGCATGAAATAATACCACCACAAATAAGTAAGTATGAGCTTTGTTATTCATTTAATGCCTACTTACATTATATATTTCTGTGCTCTTCTGTTTTATCTACTATATCAGAGATGGGAAGTATCCTGTGTTAATCCAGGATATGCTTTATATATTATGTGCCAAAGGACAATGACAAAAATGGATCTACATATTTTAAAATTAACGAAGCAATGTATCTATGCAAATGTTATATTAATTATAATTATAAGTTTATGTAAAAAATATTTGGACTATAATACAGGAGTCATAAGAATTAAATTATTTAATTTATTAAAAAATAGGTTATCTTGCATTAGCAGAACATTATTTGCCAATTAATGTAGTAATTATATATACTTTGTTCACCAGACATTTTTTGACATGACAGCCCTTATAATGTTTTTATTGTTATTGCTTTCCTCATTGTAACTAGTTTGTATTCAAAGTAAAAGTAGGTACCTTTTCTTCAATAATCGAAATTGTCCCACAGCTGGTCAACCTTTTACATCTCTCTTCTAGCAAGCAGTAATTAAGTAAAGACAACATAAATAATTATGTGTTAAGAGTTTGATTACTAACAAAATACCATTGACTATGGAATAAACTTTA